ATTACCCCGTGTAGCCTTACGTCTAGGTGCTTTAGTTAATCTTCGTCACTTGTAGCATCGGTGCGACATCACTCGCGTCCTGTCCGTTCAACTTTCTTGAACGGAGGTGAGACCTGGTTCATCAGGTCGAAAATGTGAAAATGCTAGTTACGTTCGACAATCGATATCATCTCAGCTTACAAAATAGATGGTGAGCACACAACGTGTGCTTTCCTCGTCATGTTTATGACGAAGGAAGAGTGAGCGAAGTGCTCAGCACCGTTGTTTTGCGCAACAACCTCCGACGTCTAGGCCACGTGTTACGCATATCAGCACACCGACTCCTGAGACATGCTTTGTTTACGCAACCGGGGTGTGGATGGGTGAAGAGATCAACCGATGGATTGTTAAAAAGCAATGAAGTTCCTCACTTCGAAGTTGTATGTAAGGTTGTATTAGCAACAGTCTAACGAATAGACATAAACCAAACAAAACCGTGGAAATCAGCCTTGGGTCACCGCATCTTCTTCATGGCACATTGAATAAAGATGAGCAACGCACCACACATATTTTGCCGCAAGCTAAACAGAACATATTTTTGTTAGTTTGCCTGTGTTATGGTTTGCTTTTTACCTTTTTCAATTGCTAGGCATTCGTCTGCCTTTTGAATCTAACCAGGTGTGTACACGGATCGGCCACTGGTTCGGATCGCGCGCGATTTCCTGAATTGCTTCAAACCATCAGCAATCTTCGTTCTTTGGACCCCAACTAGGCATGGGGGTGGATCCAATGGCAGCAAGACGTAAAGTCAACGCTTTCATATGCTGTCACCGTGTGAACAGTTGACCACCGCGTGTTATCTTCCAGTCCAGGTTGCGAAACAAGGACATGTCTACTAGCCGTGATTTACCGCCCACCAAACTCAACGTCGAAAATGGACTCCAAACTGAACCACGTTTTCCAGTTTGCTTTGAACAAGTCCTACACCCACATTCTTATCGCTGGAGACTTTAACGTGCACGACATAGAAACGCCAGTAACCGATGGTGCTCAGTTTAAAGCCTACTTGCAAGAGCTTATTGCTAGCCACCCTCTGTACAACCACGTAACCTCTCCCACCAGATTTCGAACTGCTAACAAGCCATCGATACTGGATCTTGTGCTCACTAACGAAGAACTCATGGTTGACAGGATAGTTACAAGCACACCACTGGGTCGTAGTGATCATGTTACTCCACTCTTTGACTATATATGCTATGCGGAGTATCCTGAAAAGGAGGATGATAAAGTGCATACTGTCACGCATTATAACGTGTTATCTAATGTAGTTAAGGATACATCTTGGACTTTCTTAACCGAATACACCTCGGATGTTGCTTGGGAAGCCATTACAAGGACATTTAGCACACTGGTTACGCACGCATCGGAAGAGAAGTTCTTCTAACCCAAAAACAAGCACGTCATTTCTGAGGAGCAGAACACGTAAATGTATGTCCCGGCGGGACTTCGCATGGCGAGTTCACCAGGACTGCCCGAATGCCAAAACCTGGACTGCATACGTGACACATCGTAACTTCTGTATGAAACTGATCCGCGAAGACAGGGTCACTCATCAGCAGAAGTTAATGAAGCGATTCTGCATGAACCGCAAACTCCTGTACAGGCAGGTTAACGACCTTAGAAAGGTAAAGCGAGGGGTTTCAGTACTAGTCACGGCTGATGGGTGCACGCGATCAGCACTGGAAGCAGCTGATCTCTTATACGGCTTCATTACTCCCAAACTTTCCAGCAGGTAACGAGCACAAACATTCTCCTCATTTCTACTACTCCACCATCTGGTTTAGAAAACATCACCTTCACTGCGGATGCTGTGTTGAAGAAGTTGGTATTCTTGCGTATCCACAGTTCTCCCGGAGCTGACAACATCCGACCAAATGCTCTACAGGCAGTAGCTAGCGATCTAGCAGAACAACTGGCGGTTTTCTATCAGCGATGTCTAGAGGAGAACCGTATTCCACCAGTACGGATGCGAGGGTTCATCACTCCTATCCATAAAGGAGGTAGCCGCACTGATCCTGCTAACTACCGTCCAATAACACTACTTCCTGTACTATCCAAAGTGATGGAATCAATCATCGCAGATACGCTGATGCCGTATCTGGAGAGCCACAACGTACTAGCCCAAGAGCAACATGGCTTTCGTCAGAAGCATTCGTGTAATACTAACCAATTAATTGCACATAATAGCTGGACTGAAGCTGTTGATGATGGAGTAGGAGTCCATGTCATCTACCTGGATTTCTCAAAAACGTTCGATCGCTTAGACCATCGAATTCTCCTTCAGAAGCTACGGAACTACGGCATTGGCGACCTTATCCTGAGTTGGACTAGCAGTTTTCTACATGAACGCCGGCTAGCGGTGAGAGTCCGAGAATCATTGTCTGGTGCAATCGAGGTGAAGTGTGGTGTACCACAAGGCTCGGTGCTTGGACCTCGTCTATTCTTGGTGTTCATTAACGATTTGGCGTGATCAATTGCTTCCGAGCTCCTATTTTTGGCCGAGGATATCAAGTTATGGTGAAGGATCAGAGGACCGGACGACCACGTACAGCTCCAGTGCTATCTTAACACAGTGTCGAACTGGTCAGTTCAAAACGCCCTACCATTCCACGTAGACAAATGTCACGTTGTAAAAGCACGCCATAGACATAAGTACAGCTATTTGCTTGGGACAAACGGATAGCAGACCAGCTCCCAGTAATGTGACCTTGGTGTGCTCGTACAGAGCGACCACAACCGTTCAAAACAGGCTGAGGTAGCTGCGAAAAGGGGCAACCAGCACTTCGGCGTGCTGCGAACGGCATTCGGGAGATTTGACCCATCAATCTTCCCAATGCTGCGCAATTCCTACTTGCGCCCGCGTGTTGGATACGCTATCCAACCTTGGTTGAAGCGCGACCTAGAGGCGTTATAGTCACCACAACGAAGAGCAACAAAGAATGTAGAAGGCTTGCGCTATCACTCTTACCACCGAAGGCTTAAGTTACTGGGAATTTTCAGCGGACGCTATCGAAGGCTGCACGGAGATCTCATATTAGCGTGTCAGATACTGAGTGACCCCAACCACGTATGCCGCCATTTGCCGAAACTTAGCCACAACACGCAGCTCAAGGGTAACTGCTTAAAATTGAAGGAGCAATCTAGCCGTCTAGTGTCGACGGAATTACTTTCCCCTTCGGTTTTGCCAACCCTGGTTCGCACCCCCGGACTTGGTTGTATCCTCTCCTACCTAGAACATTTTCAAAACGATTAGATGTTGCTCTTAGCTCCCAACATTTTGTTACCTACACTCCTCTCTTTTGAATTACTGTGAGTATACTATTTTTACAGGATTTTTGCATCAAATGGACCCAAGCGATCGACCATATTTTACTTTCCCCACGTCTTATAGCAACGACCACTGTTCGCCAGTGTATTTCAGAAAGTTTACGCTCGACTCTTTTAATTTTACACTGATGTAATTCATCAAACTATTCATCTCGACATACGTTTGATAGGTGACCCACATATATTTTGACTTCATCTTATTCTTCGCAACCATCCTACGAAAGATGTTAAGCACTTGCTTTTATCCCGTGATAAATCATTGTTCATTGTTCATTGTACGAGCGAAAACGGAGCAGTGAAGCAAACGCTCACTTCGAAGTTGGTCTCGGTTGCATCCCGTCGACTCCCGTGTTGGGACTCCAAAACGATGGACAGATTTGAGTACATACATCTGTCAACATGGCGAAGAACCGGCCACCGTGGCGCTGTTGTGAGTTTTCTTATCCCGCTCCATCCCGCTTTACCTCACCCTATACTTTCGATTTCCTCGTTAAGGCATACTAAACGCAAAGGTGTGGTTGTTGTTGGTGTTGCTCGCCGTTACCTGATTGCATGCTATTGCGGCACATTAGCTGGAATTTTTTTCATCTCAATCCAGTGTGTGGAATTAATGAATGAAGGAATCACCTGAGGTATGATCTCTAGTATTTTTACCCGCTGCTGGCTCGCCGAACAAACTCCTCGTGGTGCCAGCTGGGGGCGTTCGCGTTTACCCAGTTTCAGCCAATGGTTCTGCGGCAGTGCCAGGGATAGTGGGTTTTCGCCTGGCAGACGTTCTCCCTATAATGTACCTCGAATATCCTTTTAACATCACTGCGACGTGGAGGTGACACGTCATTAACTAAAGTCACCACCCCGTACTTAGCATAGGGGAGGAGGAGGCGGTCCGCCCCTGGCAGCATGTGAAAGGGGGGTATTTTTAGTGCCGTCGCTTGTTCGATACTAATTCTAACTAGCAAATTATCCTTACAAGATGGTGGTTGGAGATTTTACGTTTACTCCGTGTGATCAACAATACATTTGCGCCATGTGTCACACCTGTGTAAACGTTCTTCACAGCAATCCCCTCAACTGTCCCGTTGTGGCCACTTTTCCACGTTTAAGTGTCCAAAGCCATCATCCATTTCATCGAAAACTAAAGTGTACTTTACCCTGAGCCGATTGTTCGGCCTTCACGCGCCTATTCTGCCGGGACGAGGGTGAAAATGTTACCACCGCCCCGGGCGGCAAAAGTAGTTGCTACGCCACTGGGTGGAACTTTAAATTTTAGCAGCTGGATACTATCACTGTGGGGAAGTTTGGGACCCTGTTTGTAATCGACCAGATGATTGGCACATGAGCCTAGAGGTCGGTCATCGGTTCCCAATGGGAGCGATTTCCTGACTTTGCTCAGCTGTCTTGCGGGTAGGCAATTGAACCAGAAGCTCGTGGTGGTCAGCTTCCTACTTCGTCTTGGGCACACAGGTAGTATTGTATCTTCTGAAGCAACCCTGGAGTTCTGTGTTTTTGCTCCGTTTCCTTTTTTAAGTATTCTACCTTCCTTTGCTTTTCGTAGTTTTTGGTGACTTTCTACCTATTCGTCGATTGCTGAAAGCTATATCCCGTTGAGCCCTCATGTTATAAATCCGGGTAAGTTGGTAACATCACAAAAATTGTATAATTATGAAAGACTAGTTGCACGTCAAATAAACTGAGATACATTAACTGATCATGAGAAGGTGGTGTTGACAACACTGTAGTTTGGTACGTGTCCATTCAAACCTTTCATCATGCGAGCGATTCGGTGCATAAATTGTATGAAGGCGTTGTGTCCGTCCTGATTTTCATCATACTTCACTTCCACCAGACATGCCCCTTGTATCACCATGCCGTTTTGTGTTTTCAGCTGGCCGACTGAGATTTTACAAAAGCAGTTCCGCTCCAAATACTTTACCATTTTGGGTTGCTTACGAAACACATCATCAAAAATGGTCCCACTCGGAACTATGAAAGAGAAAGTTAGCACCACCGGTTTCGATGCTTTAGTGACTTGCTGCTTTGAGGAGATGGAAGGCTCAAGGAGCTCACTCATTGCAAATGAAATCTGACGTAGCCCACATGCTCACATTTCTGAGGAAGCGAAACAAGCGATCTAATTCAAAAGAGCTGCACCCTGATGATACATTGATTGTGTCACGTGACCTCCGGTTCAACAGAAAGCCCCGAGTTCATTTTCCTCTGCAGCTAAACGATGCGTATATTATAAAAATTGTTACCACTTGAGCGGACATCGTAAATGAAACGATGAGCAGTATTGGAAAGTACACAAATCCGGAATGTCGTATCAAAAATATCTTCATCAGGTTCTTTCTCCTTCATGCTTTTTTCTTGTTGGAAACGCGACAATGGACAAAATCAGCAGCAGATGCGGGGGCAGAACTCTGATCTACCGTGTAAAGTGGAAAGTTGTCCGCGCTGTTCGCTCACAACACCGTCCTCCACCACTGTTTACTCCCGTGTTTGGGCTGTCCAGATGGAGATAATCGGAACAAGGAGTGAAATCTGGGATGCATTGTTTGGACGATGATGTCTTGATACCCAGGCCACTGAGACTCATCATCAAAGCTTGACACAGCGGCAAGAAGTTCATTGTCGGAATGTAGGCTATACAGGGGCAAAACCCATAGTGAAAACTCCCCACTTGGATACGATCCACGTGATCGGAATGGCCGACGTCTACCTAAAAGTAAGCAGTTATTCCAGTTGAGAACAAGCCTTGCCCTAATCTGTGAGAGCTCACAAACGTGTCAAGCTGCAGTGGACAGATTAGCACTGGCTGTTAGCCGCTTCGGGCTTTGCTTTGCACCCTCGAAGTACAGACCGTTCCTCCAAGATTGGTCTGGACCGTCTACTTCGCTGACCCTTGGTGGGGATCAGCTAGAAGTCGTTCAAAAATTCAACTACCTGGGAAATTGTATCAGCGTCCTGGGGATTGAAGACGAGATAACGAACCATATATCGAAAGCTCTGGGCGCTTGTGCTAACCTTCGCCACTTATGGCGCCGTCGTGACATTACTCTCGCCCTGAAGGGTAGAGTGTACAGTGCTGCGGCACGTTCGACCTTAATGTGCGGAGTGAAACCTGGACCCTTAGATCAGTGGGCCTGAGGAGGCTAGTTACGTTCGACCACGGGTGCCTTCGCAATTTAGCTCACATCTGGTGGGAGTACCGCGTGAGTAACGAGTATGTTCGACGCCTTGTTTACGGCACAGGAAAAGGATATGAACCGCTCAGCACCGTCATTTCACGCACCAGGCTCCGATGGCTCGGCCACAGGTTGGGCATGCCAGCCCACCGACTTCCACGACGTGCGTTGTTTGCTCACCGGGGATACGGATGGAAGAAGTGGGGTGGCCAAGCGATGACATCGTCGAGAGGAATGAATGCCCTCACTTCTGAGCTGGCCTCGGTTGGAGCGTCATGGCGCCCTGATAGGGGGCCAAAAGACGATGAACACGGATGCTTAGATACACTTGCTGAATGGCAAGGTGCCGACCTCAGTGGAGTTGGTGTTGTGAGCTTCTTTGTTCCACCCCATCCCTTTTAGCCTCCCCTTCCATCTCCGATCACATTTCATAGCGTAAAACATAATAAATTTTATTTTGCCGAGTAGCCGGTTGGTAGCTTACCGGCACGATGTCCATCCTTTGCTAGGAGATCAGCTGGCATGCAACTGTTGTAGTTATTTTCCTTCTACTTTACTTGTTGCGGCACGGTAGCTGAGGTGTTTCCCACATCCAGCTAAAGTGTATAATGATGATGAGAAGGAGAAATGAGCCACGTGACTGTCAGCGGTCTGCGTATACAGCAATTTGCTTGAATCGACGCCCGGCAATCCGGGTCAGGTCTTTATGACCAAAGGATCGGTCGTGGTACTGATGAACTCCGACTTGCTTGCGTTAAGAGGGAGTAGTATTTCAGTGGACCACGTTGACAGTCGATCTGTCATGCTGCAGGCGAGCGCAGTCACCCTGGTTCTCAATGATCCCCAGGTTTCCAGATCATCTGAAAACAGAGCACATGGAGATTGGAGCTGCTGCGCAAAAGCTTTGATATGAATAAGAAATAATACTGGTCAAAGTACAGTTCCTTGAGGCACGCCACTGGTCGATGGGAACCAGTCTATCAGGTATTCATTGAACGATAATCAAACTTTCATCCCACAATAAACTCGTGTAACCACTGGATTAGCGTGCCACCGATTCCGCACGTCTTCAGTTTAGGAAGGAGTACCTCGTGGTTCACTCTGTCAAACGTCTAACTAAAGTCGATGTACACCACGTCAACATCCTTCCGTTCGTTGAAAGCCCGTACCCAATGGCGATTTGCGGACATCAAGTTGGTGATACAGGATCGTCATTTCGTAAAGCCGTGTTGCGCTGGTGTCAATACGTCCATCGATTCGAAGAATGACAGCGGCCACTTTTTCACAACCTCGAGAATTTTGGATAATATCGAAGTCAAACAGATTGCGCAATAGTTCGCTATTTTACTCGGATCACCAACCTTGGGAAGTGTTCTCACTATCGTGCATTTCCAGTCGTTGGGGACAGATCCTTCAGAGTGATGTATTTACTTGGTTTGTCACGGCTTGGGTATTAGCGAGTGAATTCCGTTTGGTCCGGGGGGCTTTGCACCATCGAGTTGACGAGTAGCTGATACACTTCGATTGCATCGCGTTATAGGCTGTCGAGCAAGACTGACGCAACCTGTGCCGGTACTGGAACAGCCGCCGGTTTACTGGAAAATATGGCGAGGAAGTGCGTAGGCAAGGCGTCCGCGCTCTCCTCGCATGCAATGAGTGTCTGTCCGTCCAAGCACTCTAAGACCGGTAGGTCGCCCCCAGGTTTTAGTTAACGTTTCAATTAGGCAAATATTCTCTTGGGGGCGGTTGTGGCCGAGGATACTAGCTCCTCTTCAAACCACCGGCGTTTCTTGATTCTTGCGGCGTTACGTAAGTTACGCTGTTTCTTGTACACTGCGTGCTCTTCATCAAAACCCGAGCTAATGTATCTATCCCAAAGTTTGCGACGTCGTCGCGCTAACTGTCTATATTCCGTATCAAACCAATGCGGTTTGACAGGTCTGATTTTGAATACTTCAGGGGAATGAACCGAGTACACAGCGAGTTAAGCTTCCCTTCATTAGTGACCAACAGGCATCAAGCGACGCATCCTGTGATAGTGTCCAATCAGTCTGACTTGCGGCTTGGACGAGTTCGTTGAAGTCCGTCTTCCAATAATTGAATGCCGGCTTCCGTTGGCTGTAATACGGTAACTTCAGTTCTATGCTTGCTACAGTGGAGCAGTGGTCACTGTTCGCCGAAGGTTCGAGCACTCTGGTCTCTTTCAGCTTCTGTTCGAAACTCGTAGTCATTTGCCGTTGTGACAAGCGTTGCACGCCGTAACCCGGTAACCAAAATGGTAGAAGTTTCGGCTAATATTTCACTGGCCGCGGATTCTAGGCATGCTGTCTCCACCTGATGAGATGGATTGACATGGAAACACGTCATGGTTGTGCTGTGTTTTCGGGCGGGCAACACTCAATTTCTATTTTGTTAACACAGTCAGGAATGAAACAACCAGAGGTTACTAACTGTATTCATTTGCACCAAGTTCCTCAAATGGTCGCGAGTTGTCCGCCCACCGTCAAGGGTTTATTGTGGTTTCATATCACGCACGAATCCCTGCCAATTATGAAGGATGTTTGTTGCGCGACAATCGAAGGAATATATATATATATATATATATATATATATATATATATATATGGTTGGCGGCAACCGGTTTCGGATTTGCCTGTCACTGTGGCAAGCCACAGGACGCGTGCGCCCACAGAGGGACCATGGGTGGATTGCACTGCACCACCCACACATCCCATATCCAGTGTAAATCCAAAGGAATAGGACCGGCAGGCATGTGGATGGGACCCACGTTTCATCAACGAAGCCGGCCCACACTCCTTCACAGGCAAACACAAGCACGCTGTATGTGGTGAATCAAGCGCACACAAGGCGGTGGCTGAACCGTAGTCCGCTAAACACTGAGTGCATGGAAGCACTGTTCCAGTCTAGCAAGGTCACAATGACTGTGCACCCCGTCACCTCCAGCAACGACCAACTGTCTTCTGGAGCCAGTATCGACGAGGTAGTGGGTAATAGACAGGTAGGCACCTTGTCAACATGCACATCAAACGCTGCCACACCGGAGATATCAAGCAACAGCCAATCACTTGAGAGAAAGATAACAAATAAAATAAACCGAGGGATGCATGAGGAAACGGTGACATAGATCTTAAATTAATGAGCATATGAAATAAGTTGTTTACAAACGAATCCGAGATAAGTTCACGAGGTCGGAAAGTATATTTTACGGGAATGCCACAAACACGAAAATGTTATCGAAATTAACTCCAATTGGCTTAAGCGACGTGTTCGAGTAGTGGCAGGCATTTATATGAGAAAGAAAAGTATTAGGACGAAATTGCAAATCCACCGCCTGAGATAAATGGACTTAGAATGCAAGCACGCGGTTAGTAAATCGAATGCAGCGTACCTATAAACGCTGCGCTGGTTCTGCCTACGTTTTCTGCAGGACCCGTCGTCGCATCGGTAGTGGTCCCGATTGGCCTCGCTTATGGCTCACTGGGCCTGCCTGACTCCGGCACTCGCGACCGCATGTGTTACAGAACCATAAGCATGATGTCGATGGAGTACAACCCATCGGCGCCTGTCTCTTCCGCACTTGCCGCTTCTTCTCTGCATGTATGAAGTTTCTCTCCCAGACTTCGGCAACTGCCTTCTTGATTAGATCCCTCCATGCACGCCGATCAACCCTTCGATTCCCATGATCCGCAATCAAGATTAGAATAAAAGAGGCTCACTTTGATCATGTCCTGGTAACGTTACTTCGGTTTTTCCACATGCCGCTTCTCAATACTCAGCTGACCATATAATAGCTGCTTCGGTATCCGCGTCGAATCCATACGGCTCACATGACAGAGCCACCTCAGGTGTCTCAGCAAAAGTATGCAGTCCACTGCATACATCCCACTTTGTCGCAACACTTCCGTGTCCGCAACACTGTCGCCCCAACCGATGCGCAGAATCCGTCGCAAACAC